TGCAGCAAAATTGACATAGCGTTTGCTCGTACGGACCCGGGAACGCGCAGTTCTTCGCGGCGTGCGGCCGCGGGGGCTCCGCGGGCGCCATGCTCGGCTCCCTGACGAGCGGCGGCTTCGCGCTTGTGCTTCGCCTGACGCTGAACCGGCTGCTCGGCCGCTTCCTCGGGAGGCGCCTGGAGCGGGTGGAGGTGCGCGGCGACGCCATCGAGCTCCGCGACGTGGCCCTCGACGCGGCGGCGCTGGGAAACGCCGTCGCGCCGCCGGGCTGCGTCGTCGAGTCCTGCACCGTCGACCGCCTCGTCCGCGCCCCCCGCGTCCCCGGCCGCGCGCGCGCGCGCCGGCGACGGAACGCCGCCGCCCGCGCAGATCCTCTCCGCGCCGTCCGTGCGCCACCTGCGCCGCGACGGCTGCGTGCTGCGCCTCGAGGGCGTCCGCGTCGTCGCCGCGCCGCGCGTCGCGCCGCGTCCGAACGCCGTTTCCCGCCTCGGAGACGCCGCGCGCGCGCAGGGGCGCGCCGCCGCCGCCGCCGCCGCCGCCGCCGGCCGACGACGCGCGGCCCGAGGGCCTCGTCGCGCGCGCGACGCGGGCCGTCGGCGCCTGGGCCGAGGGCGTCGCCGAGCGCACGTCCGTCGTCGTCGCGGGCGCCGCCGTCGTCTTCGACGACTTCGAGGCGTCGTTCGCGGAAGTCACCGTCCACGAGCGGAAGCCGACCGAGCGCTGCGCGCTGGGCTTCGCCGGCGCGAAACTCGCCTGGCGGGGCGTCGACCTCGTCGCCCTCGACGCCGGCGGCCACGCGACGGTCCGGGAGAGCGACGGGCGCCTCGCGGTCGACGCGCACGTCTCCGAGCCGCGGCTCACCGCGCCCGCGGCCGCGGTCGAGCGGCTCGGTGCGCTGCTCGCCGCCGCGCGGGCGCGCGCCGTCGACGCCGCCGCCGCCGCGGCGCCGGCGGCGCCGCCGCCGACGCCCCTCGCGACGGAGGGCCTCGACGCGTTCCTCGACGCGCTGGACCTCGACGCGTCCGCGCTGGAGCGGCTCCGAACGACGCTCGAGTCGGCGGCGCGGCGGGCGCTCGACGACGACGCCGACGAGTTCTTCGACTGCGCGAGCTCCCTGGAGCTCGCCTTCGACGCCGCGCGGCCGACGCTCGGCACCGCGAAGCTCCACTGCCTCGGCCTGTGTGGAAATCAAATATTCAAACCGACTTCAGTGTTTCGACACAAGCTCTTCGGTTGTGCTTCGACAACTCGATGAGAGCAATCGATTCGTCCAAAAGTCAGCCGAATCGACTTCGATTTGATCGAGATAGAGAGTTCTGAAGTTTGGTGGGGACCCCCCAAAACAGTGGTTGATTTCCACACAGGCCTCGGCGCCTGCGAGCTCGCCCTCGACGGCGGCGTCGTCGCGACGGCCCGGGACCTGAGCCTCTGGCGGAGCGGCGCGGGCGCGCTCGGCCTCGAGGCCGCGGCGCTCCGCGTCGCCGGGCCCGGCGCGGAATTCGCGTGCGACGGTGGCCTCGAGGCCTCCGTCGAGGCGACCGGCGACTGGTCCTGCGCCGGCGGCGACCTCGCGGGCGACGTCGCGGACCCGGCGGCGCTGCGCGACGTCTTCGAAACCTACGCGTCCCGCGTCGCCGCGCTCGCGGCGCCGCGGCCCGCCGGCGCGCCGCCGCCGGGCGACGCGCGCGGCGACGCCCGCTTCCGGCGCGTCGAGCTGGCCTGGCGCGGCCGCCGGGCGTCGGCGGCGGCCGTCGCCGTCGCCGTCGCGTCGCGGCCCGCGGGGCGGCGCTGGGGCGCCGAGGCCGCGGAGTGCGCGGTCCACGACGGCGTCGACCGCATCGCGCGGCTCGTCGGCGGGCCGGGGCGGCCCGTCGTCGTCGAGGGCGCCGTCGGCGCGCCGCCGCCGTCGAGCCTCTCCCGCGCCGCGCGCCGGCGGCGGGCGGGGGGCGAGGCGCGCGTCGCGCGCTTCGACGACGCGGACGACGACGACGGCGGCGACGACGCGCGCGCGGCGCTCCGCGGGGCCCCGCCGCTGTCGAGCCGCGAGCGCGAGGCCGCGACGCGCTACCGCGTCGACGTGCACCGGGCGGAGCTGGACCTCGACTGCGCGGCCCTCGAGGCGCTGGCGCGGGACGTCGCCGCCGCCGTCGCCGGCGGCGCCGGCGCCGCGCCGCGGCCGGACGCGCCGACGGCCTACGCCGTGCGCGTCGACGAGGTCGCCGCGAGCGTCCGGGCGGCGCCCGGCGCGGCCGTCGCGGCGCTCGACGTCGCGGGCGTCGACGTCGCCACGGACGGCCGCGGCGCGACGTTCCGGGTCGAGGACGCGACGCTGGACGTCGACGGCTTTCGGCTCCTGCGCAAGCGGCCGCCGCCGGCGGGGAACCTCGGCGAGGCCGTGCGCGTGCCCGACGCGCGGCGCGAGGTCGCCGTCGTCGACGAGCCGCTCGTCGTCGGCGAGGCCGCCGCGGCCGCGGCGACGGTGACGGTCCGCGGCGCGATCCTGGCGCCGCGCCGCGCGGCCGCCGACGCCGTCGCGGCGACGCTCGCGGCGCTCCGGCGCGTCGCCGCGGCGCTGCCCGGCGGCCCCGCGGCGCCGGCGCCGGAGGCGTACCGCGCCTACGTCGCGTGCCACGACGCGCGCGTCGACTACGCCGACGACGGTCTCGGCCTCCGGGGAGCGGCGACGGTGGGCTTCGCCCGCGTCGCGGCGACGGCCGTGTCGGCGAGCGTCGACGCCGGCGGCGCGGTCAAGGACGTCGCCCTCTTCGTCGCGGACCGAGGCAGAGGGGAGGATTTGTCTTTATGGGCGCGCCTCGCGACGCTGGACCGCTGCGAGCTCCGGGGCGCGCGCGACGCCGGGGGGCGCGTCGCCGTCGACGTCGCCGGCGGCACGCTCCGGGCCTACGCCTGCTCCGACGGCCTCCAGGCGCTGCTGGACCTCGCCGCGGCGTGCGGCGCGGAGTTCGCCGCGGGGGGGGAGGACGAAGACGACGGCGACGACTCGTCCGCGGGCTCGCTCGGCGGCCAGCTCATCGGCGGCGACGACGACGACGACGACGACGACGCGAGCTCGAGCACGTCGTCCGACGGGCGGCGGCGCGACCTCTTCATGTCGGCCATGGGCGAGTCGCGCATGTTCATGTCGGCGCTCGGCGAGAGCCAGATCGCGGGGGACCCCGTGGAGCTCGGCGACCTCGCGGGCGCGTCGCGGCGCGCCCTCGAGGCCTCCGTCGAGTACGGCTCCGAGGACGCCGCGTCGGAGCTCTCCGACGGCGGCTCGTCGGACGGCGACGGCGACGACGCGGACGACGGCGCGCGGTCGTCGTGGTACGGGGGCCGCGCGCCGGAGCTGCGCGAGGACCACGTGCCCGTGCCCGCCACCGGCGGCGAGGGCCTCGCGAGCGTCTCCGACGAGACGCTGCGCGTCGACGTGCGGGACCTCGCGCTCCAGGTGAGGCTCTTCGCCGGCGCGGACTTTGCGGGGACGCGCGCGCCGTCGGCGGCGGCGCCGCCGCGGCGGCCCGGCGCCCTCCTCGCGACGCTCCTCGAGGACGACGGCGACGACGAGGCGGCGCCCGCGGCGTCGACGTCGGCCCGCAACGTCGACGACCTCGTGGAGCTCGAAGCCGTCGGCGCGTCGTTCTCCGCGTCCGTCGCGCGCTCCGGCGGCGCGCGCTACGACGGCGGCCTCGGCGACGTCACGGTCGTCGAGTCCATCAGCCGCGGCGACCGCAAGCTGCGGCCCGCCGTGCGCCACTGGCGCTCCGACGGCCGCCACCCGCGCGAGACGGGCGCCGCGGCCGTGCGGGTCCTCGCGGAGCGCGACGGCGCGGACCTGCGCGTGAAGCTGCGGGCGCTGCCCCTGCGGTGCCAGCTCGACGCCGAGTGCGTCCGGTTCCTGGACGCGTTCTTCGGCGGCCTCGAGGTCGGCGGGCGCGCGGACGACGCCGACGACCGCGGCGCTTTGCTCGTGCCGAGCGCGCGCGCGGCGCCCGGCGGCGGCGGCGGCGCCGTGACCGTGGACGTCGCGCCGTTGGCGCTCAAGCTCGACTACACGCCCCGGGGGCCCGACGCCGCGGGGCTCAAGCGGGGCGAGCTCGGCGAGCTGCTGCAGTGCTTCGCGCTCGAACGCGTCGCCGTGGCCACGCGGCGGTGCCGCGTCGTCGCGGCGACGCCCGCGGAGGCCTGGGACGCGCTGCGGTCGACGTGGGCCGCGGAGCTCGGCGGGGACCAGCTCCGCGCCTTCGTCGCCGGCGCGTCGGCCGTGCGGCCCGTCGCCGAGGTCGGGAGAGCGCTGCGGGACGTCCACGGCGACGTCGCGCGCGCGCGCGACGGCGCCAAGCTGCGGGCGCTGCGCGGGTCCGCGGGCCGCGCCGGGGCGGTGGTCGCCTGCGAGTCGGCGCGGGGCGCGCGGCGTTTAGTGGCGCGGCTGTCGTTCGCGCTCGACGAGGCCGCGGACGTCCTCGACGCGGACGCGGCGCGGCGCGCCGCGTTCGCCGCGCCGGGGTCGCCGGCGCGGCGGCGCGACCGCGAGGCGCTGCGGGGCCTCGACGCGGCGGCGCGGGGCGACCGGCGCAGGCGGCTCGAGGACGCGCGCGACGCCGTCGCGCGCGGCGTCGCGGGCGCGCGCGACGCGTGCGCGGCCGCGATGCGCCGGCCGTCGCCGGGGACCGTGGCCAAGGCCGCGCCCGTGGCGCTCCTGCGCCTCCTCGCGGGCAAGTCGCGCGGCGTCGCCATCCTCCTCGTCGGCCTCGAGGCGGAGATCGACGCGGACGACGACGCGGCGCTACCGCGGAGCCCGCGGTAGCGGCTCGCCGCTCGCGCCACTTTTGTTAAAACACACGGCTTGCTTATCTTCTATGCTGCACGCGGCATCTGCCATCGCGTCCCGAGCAGCACAGCTTGGATCGACGATTGCTCACTGGCTTCGACTACATCTTCGAGCGTGTCGTCCTCGTCTAGCGAGGCCCCTTTGACGAAGAGGGCGCAGCTCTCTGCGGTGAGGCCCTTCTTCTTGACGCGCTTCAACATTTCCTCTTGCAGCGCACCGACCGTCGCACCCCAAGGGAACGGGACGCGCAGCTGCAGGCTTTGGTTGTTCATGGCGATGGCCACCGTGAACTTGCCCAAGCGCCGCGCGCAAGGGGAGTCACGCGTGTCAGCAGCGGGCCCTGCAGGAGCGGGCGCCTCGTCGCGGGGCCGGCCGTGATTCACCGCCGGCGGGGGACGCGGCGCGGGCCGCGGCGCGGGCCGCGGCGGCGAGGGCGCGGGCGGCGCCAACGGGATGGTCGCGTCGTCGTCGTCGAGCTCGGGCGCCGCGGGCTCGGGCGCCGGGGTCGCGGGCGGCGCGGCCGCGGCGTCGTCGTCCGCGGGCACGAGCGTCGATGGCCGCGCGGACGCCTCCTGGTCCTCGTCGTCCCACTGGACGGTCCACCAGCCGCACTTGCCCTTGCTCAGGAGCGTGCACTCCCGCGCGCCGTCCCGCTCGCGGAGCCGCGAGCCCTCCTCGATGTGCGCGTAGGCGCCCTTGGGCATCGCGGCCGCCGCGGGCCGCGGGCTCCGGGCCGGCGGCGCGGCGACGGGCGGCGGCGCGGCGACGGGCGGTGGCGCGACGGGCGCCGCCGCGAGCGCGGGGCACCCAGCCTCGAGGCGGTCGATGATGGGATCCGACTGCGACTCCTCGCCGTCTTCCGTGCGCGACCGCTCGTTGCCGATCGCGACGTCCTCGAGCTCGTCGCCGTGGCACGCGACCTCCTCGCCGTCGCCGTCGCCGTCGCCGTCGCGGCGGACGTAGAACATGTTGCCCGCGCCCACGGACATGACCGTGCCGACGCCGCCGCCCTGGCTCGCGGGGATGGCGACGCGGCGGCCGACGGCGCACTGGCGCTGGCGCGCCTCGGCGTCGGAGATGTCGCTGATGACCGAGTCGTCGTCGGCGGCGCCCTCGTCGTCGGGGACCACCTCGACCCATGACTTGCGCAGGGACACGATCATCGGGTCGTCGTCGAGGTGGACCTTGATCCAGGCCTTGTTGCGCTCGACGACGATGCCGTACTTGCCCGCGAGCGACGTGTGCGCCCCCGTCACGCGGACGCGGTCGTGCACCTTGGCCCACTGAGGCCTGGGCGCGTCGCCGGCCGTGGCCTTCTTGCGCCGCTTCGGCGGCGCGGCGGCGCCGAAACAGGGCGCGTCGCCGGCCGTGGCCTTCTTGCGCCACTTCTTCTTGCGCCGTTCTTGCGCCGCTTCTTCTTGCGCCGACGTTTTTGCGCTCTTGCCCCGCCGCTTCTTGCTCTTCTTGACGATCTCGCGGCCCTGCTCGTCGGCAAGGTTCCTGCTCGTGGGCGCGAGGGCGAGGTGCTCCTGGGACTGGGTCCGCGACCGGTCGCGCGACCCGTCCGGCGGCGGCATCGGCGGCGGCGGCATGTTGCGCACGACCGCCGGCACGAGCTCCGCAGGCGAGGCTGCGGCCATGTCGCCGGCCGCGGCCTCGGCCGCGGCGGCGTCGACCAGACGCTGCAGGGCGAGGTCCGGCACGGACGTCTCCGGCGCGTCCTTGTTCGACGGCTTCTTCTTCGCGCGGCGCTTGCGGGCCCGCGGCGCCGCGGCGGCCGCGTCGGCCGCGACGCCGAAGGCCTCGTTCGCGCGGCGCTTGCCGGACGGTGGAGTTGCGCGGGTCGTCGAGCATGGGCGTCGGGTCGTCGGACTGGGGCGGCGCGTCGGCGATGCCCAGGTGCGCGCGCGCGAGCGTGCCGACCGGCGGAGGCGTCGCCGCGTACGCGCCGGCCGACGGCGGCGCGGCGGGCGCGCTCGCGGCGGGGTCGATGGCCGCCTCCGAAAGCATGGGCGCGGGCGCCGCCGGCGCCTCGGAGGCGGGCTCCTCGTCGGCCGGCGGCGAAGACTGCCGCGGCGCGGGCTCCGCGGCCGGCTCGGGCTCCGCGGCCGGCTCGGGCGGCGGCGGCGGCGCGTCCGGCGGAGGCTGCTCCTTTCGGCGCTTGCCGGCCGCCGGCGAGTCGGTCGCGCTCGCGCTTCGCTTCGTCGAGGCCCGCGGCTCTTCGAGCATCGGCGCGGCGGGCGCGGGCGCGGCCGGGGAATCCTCGTTCTCCTGCGGCGCGAAGACGACCTCCGAGTCCTCCTCCGAAGCGCCGGCGGCGTCGCCGACGGTCGCATGTTCCTCCTCCTCCTCCTCCGCGTCGGCCTCGCCGCCGACCTTCTCCTCCTCGTTCGCGTCCGGGACCTCGCAGACGTCGCAGAATTTTTCGAACGGGAAGTTGTCCGCGAACGTGCAGGCGTTGCAGCTCCACTTGGGCGTCGTCGCCAAGCGCACCTTCGCCGCCGACGCGGCCGCCGCGGCCACGGCCTCGTCGGCGGCGGCCGTCGCCGCCTCGGCCACCGCGACCGCCGCGGCGGGCGCGGGCACCGCGTCTAAATCATTTTTGTATACCTTCGTGATCGCGTAGAACGCGGGCCACGACTCGAGGTCCGCGGCGCTCGCCGGGTAGGACCCGTGCGTCTCGCGGAGCGCCGCGCGGCCGTCCCCGGCGTACCAGGTGCCCATGGGGCCGTGCGGCCATCCCCGCAGCTCCCAGGCCACCGCGCCGTCGCCGTCGGCGGCGTTGTCTTGCATCTGCGCCAAGGTATGAGCGACGTCAATCACCGGATTTTTGTTCTGAGGGGGCTGCATCTCCGCCATCGGCGAGAGCCCACTGCAACGCGGCTTCAACGACTCGACATCTTCGACGCGAGCTGCGACACGATGGCCGCACGTAATTGCGCCCAGCGCGCTCTACTCCTCGCCTGCTGCGCATCCGCGTGGCGCGCGACGACGCGCGACGTCGCCGCCCCGCCGTCGTCGCGCCGCGGCGCGTCCGCCTGGCGCCACGCGCCCGCGCCGCTCGCCCCGCCGTCGTCGCGCCGCGGCTTCTTCTCCGCCGCGGCCGCCGGCGCCGCATCCCTCGCGGCGCGCCGCGCGGACGCCGCGGAGCCCAAGCAGGCGAAGCTCCCCGCGGCCGCGCTCGCGAAGATCGTGACCGCCGACGTCACGGAGCGCCAGTTCCTCGCGACGGCCGACTTCACGCGGTCGCTCTACGACGAGTCGGCGACGTTCACCGACGAGATCGACACCTACACGATCGACAAGTTCATCGCGGGCACGAAGAAGCTCTTCGTCGCGGAGAAGTCCCGGGTCGACCTCGACGGCGCCGTGACCGTCGACGACGGCAAGGCCGAGTTCAAATTCAAGGAGACGCTCTGCTTCAACCTGCCCTTCGTCAAGCCCACGGTCTTCGTGAGCGGCCGCGTCGTGCTGACGCGCGACCCGGCGAGCGGCCTCTTCACGGCCTACCGCGAGTACTGGGACCAGACGCCCAACGAGGTCATACGGAAGGCGAAGCTCTAAACGTCCGTATTATCGCGTCCGCGTGTTCTCGACCTTGCTCTGGATGCGGTGCTGCGCCTCCTCGAACTGGCGCACGGTGCGGTCGAGGCACTCGCGGCCGACGACGAGCATGCGCGCGACGAGGAGCGGGTCCTGCGCGATCGGAGGGGTGGGTGCGCGCGATGGGCGGGGCGGGCGGACGCGGCGGGACGCGCGGGCTCGTCGCGCGCCTGCTCGAACTCCTTGCGCGCGCTCGCGCGCAGGACCACGTTCCTACGGCGGGGATGATCGGCGTCGCGGCGCCTCGATGCCGACGCACCAGGGCTCGCCCTCCTTGTCCGCCCAGTGGAAGTGCCGCGAGGCGCGCAGGATGTCGCGGTAGAGGCTCAGCGCCTCCGGATTCGCGGCCTTGCGCGGCGCAAAGAGCGTTCGCCTCTCGATGCGCGGCGCGAATGTCATGGCGCGCCTCAGCGCGTGCGCTGCGGGGCCAGCCATGACGCAGAGCAGCTTAGAGCTCACACTCGAAGCCGGTCGAGCACCGCAAGAGCAGGGCAGCTTCGGCGAGCAGTGGCTGTGGCTAATCGAGCTGCGTGCGATGCTGGCTCGAATCGCGCGCTGCCGCGCGTCCCTCCATGCTGTCCGCGGCACCGCGCGCCGCCAGCGCCGCAATTCGACGGGCCGGGCCCTCGCCGTCGTGCTCAAGGAGGAGTGGGACGGCGAGCAGGCGAATCTGGCCGTCGGCGGCCGCCTGGAGCAGCTCGTCGGCCAGCTCCAGGCGCGCGGCGGCGCCATCTCCGACGAGGCCGGCGACGGCCGCGTGACCATCACGCTGCCCGGCGTCGTCGCGACCTTCGACTGCCGCGACGTGCCCGAGGAGGACGACGCGCCCGCGGCGCCGTCGGCCGGCGACGCCGACGCGCCGCCGCCCGTCGAGTTCGACGCGAGCGTCGCCGGCGCCGGCGGCGCGAAGCTCGTCTTCGAGTGCGTCGCGGCCGACTCGGTCCAGATCGACGCCGTGGCCTTCTACGGCGCGGAGTCGGGCGACGACGCCTACGACGGTCCCAAATTCGACGAGCTCGACGCGAAGCTCCAGGCGTCCTTCTACGCGTACCTCGAGGGCAAAGGCGTCGACCCGGACCTCTGCGAGACCATCTGCGCCTACGCGAGCCACAAGGAGGCGCTCGAGTACGCGAACTGGCTCGAGCGGTGCGGCAAGTTCCTCGAGGCCAGCGAGCCCGACGACGCTTAATACTATTACATCGGCCGGCACCCGAGCTCGGGCGGGAGCGAGTCCTCGAGCCGCGCGCGGTGCCGCGCCTGGGCCTCGCGCGGGAGGAAGGGCACGCGGACGCCGCCCGCGCCGCCGAAGACGAGCGCCCCCCGCTCGAGGTCGACGATGCACTTGAAGCGCCGCATCTGGTCCAGCCCCAGCAGCAGGAGCTGGTCCTGGACCTCGAGGCACGAGAAGTCGAGCGCGAACTCGACGCCCTTGTCGAGCGTCAGCGCGACGCCGCGGAGCTTCCCGATGATGCGCGCTCTCCCGACGCCCGCGGCGACGCCCTGCTCGCTCGTGTCGAGGCGGTCGAGGATGCCGAGCGCGCGCGCGAGGGGCGCGCTGATGACGGAGTGCTGCGCGCCCGTGTCGACCATCATCTCCACGCGCGCGTTGCCGAGCGTGCACGCGACGAGGGCCATGCCCGCGTCGACGCCCGCGGACCGCGCGAACGGGTCCACGTACTGCGGCCGCCGCGGCGCGGGACCACCGGTGGTCGGGCCGCCGGCCGCGCAGCGCGCGCAGAGGTCGAAGTCGCAGCGCAGGCAGCTCATCGCGGTTTCGCCCGGCGGCAACCGCGCCCCGCAGCGGTCGCAGACGATGCGCTGCGCCGCCGTGGCCGCGAAGCGCCGCAGGCCGCAGCCCCGCGGGCAGTTCGCGCCGTGGGCGCCGCCGGGCTGGCGCGGCGGCGGCTGGCGCGGCGGCTGGCGCGGCGGCGGCTGGCCCTGCTGGCTGAGCTCCCGCGCCAGGGCCGCGTCGCTGCTCTCCTGCATCGCCCGCGCCAGCGCCGCATCGTTGCGCGTGATCGACGGCAGCGCGCACATCGGAGAACGCTTCGACGGCGATGCGCAGATCAGCGTCTCAGATGGAAGCCCATCGTAAGCGCGCCTCGAGCGAAGAAGGTTTGTGGTGCCGCCTGTTCTGGAGAGAGGATGGCCACCATGGATGAGACACAAAAAACCGTGGCCGCCTTCCTCGCGGAGAACAAGTTCCAGGATTCCGACGAGGCCCTCGCGGCGCTGCTCGGCGACGACGGCGGGCTGCTCTACGGGCACCGCGGCGAGGCGCTCCTCCGCTGGGGGTCGCGCGTCGCCGACGACGCCGCCGCCGCGGAGCCCGCGGCGGCGCCCGACGACGAAAACGACGACGAGAACGACGACGACGACGACGCCGCCGACGAGGGCTTCGAGGCGCCGGCGAAGGAGGGCTGGCTCCAGAAGAAGGGCAGCGGCTTCGCGAGCTGGAAGGACCGCTACTTCTCGCTGAGTGGCACCGAGGCCGCGTACTTCGCCGACGCCGCCAAGGCCGACCGCAAGGGCGAGATCGTCGTCGGCGACATCGTGAGCGTGCGCGACGGCGTGCCCCACGACCACCGCAGCAAGGTGCCGACGCTCGAGGTCGAGGTGAGGAACGGTCGCACGTACGCGTTGTACGCGGGGTCCTTCGAGGCGCACCGGGCGTGGCGCGACGCCTTCGACGCGGCGACGCGGTCCCTGCGCGTGCCGCCGGCCTCGCCGCGCGCGGCGCCCGCGGCCGCGGCGGCGCCCGCGGCCGCCGCGCCCGCGGCCGCCGCGCCGCGCGCGCGCCGCGCCGCTGCGGCGGAGCGTGCCGTGCGTCGCGACGCTCCCGGACCTCGAGGCCTTCGGCGCGGCGTTCCGCGGCGGCGTCGGCGCGCGCGCGGCGGCCGACGTCGGCGCCGTCGCCCGGGACCTGGCCGCGCTCCGGGCCGCGCGCGACGCGCTCGACGGCGCCGTGTCCGCGGGCGAGGCCGCGGTCCGCGCCGAGGGACCCAAGGCCATCGCCGCCGCGGCGGCGCGAAGCGACTGGGCCGCCTGCCGCGCGGCGCTCGACGCCGCCAAGGGCGCCGGCGGCCGCGACGGCGCGCTCGCGGCCGTCGCGGCCGCGGTCCGGCGCAGGGCAGCAAAAGAGAGCGAAATTCCCAACTTCAAAGGCTTCGATCTCGGTCGTTTTCCACTCGTTTCGGCTGATTTTTGGACGAGCGATCATCTCTCGGGACGGTCTCGCAGCGTGGATGCTTTTGTTGGAACGCGCGCGCGCGGAACACTCACGTTGAAGCGACGTTGAATCACCCTTGTGCTGCCCAGGTCCGGCGCGAGCTCTTCGACGACGGCGAGGCCTACTTTTGCGGCGAGGGCGCCGCCGCGCTCTGCGCCGGCGCGGCGCGGCTCGCGAAGCGCTTCCGCGCCTTCCTCGGCGGCCGCTGCGTCGAGGCCGTCGGGCCCTGTGTGGAAATCAACCGCTGGTTTGGGACGTCCCCACGAAACTTTGAAATGCTTTAGCTCGGTCAAATCGAAGTCGATTCGGCTGATTTTTGGATGAATCCATTGCTCTCAACGAGTTCTCGAAGCGCAGCCGAAGAGTCTGGTCCAAACCGTTCGATTACGCGCACATTGAAGTCGTGTTGAAGATTTGAATTCGGCGCAGGTCGGGCCCGACGCGGCCACAGAGGCCGCGGTCGCGGTCCACGAGCGCTACTGCGCGGACCTCGTGCCGCGGCTGCCGGCGCTCGAGCTCGAGGGCGCCTTCGACGGCGGCGCCGCGGCGCCGGAGGACGCGCTCAAGGTCCTCGCGGCGCTGAACGACCACCGGTGCGCGATGCGGCCCTACGGGCTGCCCTTCCCGGGGCAGCACAAGAGAGCGAAATTCCCAACTTCAAAGGCTCCTCTCTCGGCCGTTTTCCACTCGTTTCGGCTGACTTTTGGACGAGCGATCATCCCTCGGAACGGTCTCGACGCGTGGATGCTTTTTCTGGAACGCGCGCGCGCGGAACACCCACGTTGAAGCGACGTTGAATCACTCTTGTGCTGCCCAGGCCCTTCCCGCCGGACCTCGACGACTACGAGGACGCGCTCGCCGTCGCCTACCTCGACGACGTCCAGGCGACGGTCATCGAGTGGGTGACGAACGTGCGCCGGCGCGCGCCCACCGTCGTCGCGGGCAGCGACGGGAGGCTGCGGACGCCGCAGCCCGAGGACATGCTCCGCCTCGCCCGGGAGCAGCTCCGGGCGGCGCTGGACCTCGTCACGGGGCCGACGCGCCTCAAGGCCGCCGTCGCCGTCGCCGAGGGCTGCGCGGCCTTCGCCGAGGACGACGACGAGGACGAGGAGACGCGCGCGTCGCGCGTCGCCGACGACGGCGACGACGGCGCCGCGAGCCCCCTCGAGGTCCTCGCCGCGCGGTGCAACGACTGCGCGCGCGCGTCGGACCTCCTGCTGGGCCTCGTCGACGAGGACGGCCAGCGCGAGGCGCTCGAGCGCGACTGGACGCCGGGCGCGGGCCGCGCGCGCGGCGCGACGGCGACGGAGCTCCTCGACGGCTCCGCGGCGCGCTCGAGGCGACGTC